AAAAAAAAATTGTAGTCTTGTGTTTATTTTCAGCGGAGACTGAATGTTTGGAAACTATTAATAATATTGATGATCAGATGCTCATTTCTGGTTCAGGTAATAATTAATTTAAATTAAAAAAATATTTATTATTTAATTTACTTATTTTTTTAGTTATTGACCCTGATACAAATAAAGAGTTGGTAAATTTGAATATACAAGCATCAGAATTTAATAACCTTTATGAGATTGGCATATATAATGTAAGTATTTAATAATTTATGTATTTAATTAATATGTTATATTACATATTATAAAGATGCATTCTTAAAATGTATGTTATTCATTAATATTAATCCAACAACCAACTTTCATTATTTTTATATATCATTAAATATCTTTGACAATAATATAAACAACAAAATGGTTAATATTTTTAAGTAATAACAAATGAATATTGAATAATAATTATATATAAATAATTTATTAAAACTAAAATTTTCAATAAAATATATATTTATAACAATAAATAATATAAAAATAAAAATATTGTCTTGAATATTATAGAAAAAGTGCTAAAGAATATGACTGATTTTAATTCAAAAAATCATTGTTAGGTATAAAATGTACATTATTGACTATAATACTTAATTTTATAGGATCAGAAATATTCAAATGTAGAACACAATGCTAAAAATATTGTTTACTATGAAACAGATCCAGCCAAAGGGATTTTAAATAGTAACACAATAAATTATTTAGTACGTAATAAAGTATCAACTTGTTTAGAGAGCATCAAATTTAAATCAACTTTGCATAAAATTGGTAAATATTCTCGGTATCTTCCTAAGCAATTATTTACTAGAGAATTACATAATGGTGAAAAATAATCTCGCGATTGAGTTTTATACTCTTGTTCAGAAAATTCATTATACTGTTTTTACTGTCTTCTATTTGCACAAAATAAAACAGCATTTAGTAATAAAGGTAAAGAATTTATAAATTGGAAAAAAAATGTTTAAACCATGTCAAAAATCATGAAAAAAATCAAATTCATCTTATATCAGTGAAATTATGGTTCTCTGAACAATCTGAAAATCTAGAAACTATAGACAAGCAGCTTAAAATTGAAATCCAAAAAGAAGAATCATATTGGCAACAAGTACTTCATCGTTTAATTGAAACTATTATTTTCCTATCGTTTAGAGAACCTTGCATTTAGAGATAATAATTAAATCCTAGGTTCTGGTCACAATGGAAATTATTTAAGATGACTTGAATTAATCGCTAAATTTGATTCACTTATTTCTACACATATTGACAAGTATGCAAATAAAGGCAAAGGAAATGTATCATATTTATCTAATACCATTTGTGACAATTTAATTTTATCAATGACTAAAACTGTTTTAGAAAATATTGTGCATGAAATTAAAATTTCTAAATATTTCTCAATTATTGTAAATTCTACTCCTGATATTTTAAAAGTTGATCAACTTACAGTCGCAATAAGATATATACTGCCAGATAGTTTACCTGTTGAACATTTTTTAGGTTTTTTATCTTCTGTCGGTCATAAAGCAAAATATATGGAATTGGCTATACTTCAAATTTTTTCAGATCTTGAGATTGACATCAAAAGCTGTAGAGGATAAAGTTATGACAATGATCAAAACATGTCTGGAATTCATAATGGATTGCAGTCCAGTATAAAGAAAAGTTTATGTACTGCTGAATTTGTGCCATATTTGGCACACCCCCTGAATTTAGTTGGTACATTTGCAGCTAAAGAGACTAGTGTAGGTAATCAATTTTTTATGACCATTAAACATTTTTTTACTTTTTTTTTTCTAGTTCTACATCACATTGGAAGATCTTAGAAAATGAACTTAATATTAATTCCTAATTCAACAATGCTTAAAAAATTATGTCCTACTAGATGCTCATCAAGATATTTTGTTTGTAAGTCAATAAAAAAATGGTTATAATGGGATTGTTGCTGCATTACAAAGTATATCAGAAGATGTCAATCAGAGACCTGCTACAAAACATGAAGCATTGTTTAAAAAAATGAAGAACTTAGAATTTACATTCATGTTAGTCTAGTGGACACCTATTTTAGAAAGATTTCACATGACTAGTAAAAGCTTACAATGCGTTAATATAGATTTATCACCTAAGGTAAAATTATACAAATCGCTTGAATTATATATTAGTGAATTGAGAAATAATTTTGGAACTATATTAAATGAAGCTATAAGTGTATTTGTAAAATGGATTTTTTTTCCAATTAGTTAGGAAGACAAAAAAAAAAAAAAAAGACTGTATTTTTGATGAAGGAGATGCAGAAGACAATGTGTTTTCAGAAAAAAGAAAACATGAAAATTAAAACATTTTGTCCTATTATTGATGCTTTAATCAGTAATTTAAATATTAGAAAAGAAGCGTACAATAAAATAAATGAAAAATTTGGATTTTTTTTTTTAAATTTAGAAGATATAGATCAAACCAAACTTAAACTAAAAGCTGAAAAGTTGGTAAGTATGTATGAAGATGACTTAGGAATTGAATTTGTTGAAGAATTAATACAGTTTAAACAAATGGTTTCATCTATGCCAGAAAGTCAAAAAAATTCTTTTCATGCTTTATTAAAAGCATTAATAAAATATAATATAAGTTCCACATATCCATTGATAGAAATTGCACTTAAAATATTTATATGCATGCCTTGTTCAAATGCTAGAGGCAAAAGCTCATTATCTGTTTTGAAAAGAGTAAAAACATATCTCCGCTCATCATTAGCAGATGAAAAAACATCATCGTTATCACTTTTGTGTATGGAATCTGAAGTTGTAAACAGTATTGATTGGAATACTTTAGTCCAGAGATTCGTCCAAGAAAAAAATTATAAAATATTGTTTGATATATTTATGTATTAATTAATATATTAATGATTAATTTATTATCATTATTTTTAATTAAAATAAATGAATAAAATTATATTAGATTGTATATTATATTTTAGTTGGTTTTCGTAGTATGGTAATATGGTGTCCCATGGAGATTTACATAATAAGAAAATAATTAGTAGAAAAATCGTAAAGTTTATGGGGGCGCGAAAAAAATTTGCCCTAGGGCGCTGAATTGCTTGACACGGCTCTGCACACACACACGGAAAAAAAATAATTTAGCTATAGTAAATTGTTGGCTACTTAATAGTTGAATCAGCTGTATTAATTGAATTGGTCATTTCGAAAAGGCCATTTCTCCATACATTTTCAAAACTATTTGTATGTGATAGATATGTTTAACTAATAATAATATATATTTCCTGCGAGACTGCCATATCATAGTTGTTTTTTATAAGGGAATTAAATAATTCAACCTATTTTCAATTTTTATCTAAATTTAATTTTGATCTCTAAAAATAGTTTTTTACGTTTCTTGACAATTTTCATATTATGGAGATATGGCCTTTTCGAAATGACCGATTCAATTGTTCTATATACTTATTAATTTAGTTATGTTGACTAAAATTGCATTGTTGAATATAATAAGTTCATTAAACTATATATATGGACATTTGGTATTAACTACATTTTATATTAAAGGTACCAAAATAAACCAGTAAAAATGACTGAAACAGTTATTTTTATTTTTACAACAATACCATTTTGCTCTGATCACTTTAATATTTAATAATATTTACTGTACTGTATAGTTGCAGGGTTGCATAACACTTCCATATGTGACCCCCATCGGTTAAACTCAATTTTATTTCATAGTTCTTTACTGTTTCACATGTTTTAGTATGTTCTTACGTGAAAAAAAGTAAAAAACATTAATATCTTATATTACAATATTTTACAATTATACCCGTTGCAAAAATTTGCAATAGATAATTTAATTATACAATAAAAAATATATGTGCAATCGAATCAATATATAAACACATTTTAACAAATCAATAAATGAGTATAATATCAAAATGACAGAGAGTGTTTAACTAATTGGTAAGAGCCAACGAGAATGTAGTATTTGGAAAAAAATTGAAAGTAAAGTCGATTGTGTATACATAACTTTCCTTAAACTCAACAAATTTAAGCAATTAATAGCTCGAAATAAAGAGATTGATCCACTGAGTGTTCTGAGAATGAAACAATCAAGATCCATTCATTAGAAAATGAGCTATGAGAATTCAAATTGCTTGAGTGAATGTGTCCCATAAGAAATGTACAGGGAAGAATTGCGTTTGAATATAATTTGAGTAAGGTGGGAGTTGATTAAATTTCAATAATTGATGACATATCTGTGTCTAAATAAATTTCATTAAAAATAAAAAAAAATGAAGGAAATCGGTCGCATAGAACGGGCTGACTTTAGTTTTCATACATTTTTTAATATATAAGATAATATAATAATATTTGTTGTAATATAATATTTACACATTCATATACTAATATTGTTTTAAATAAGCTTTTTTTTTTTTTATTATTAATATTTCAAATAAATAAATAATGTAACTAAATAAAAATGTTATCTCTATATTAACTAAGAAATATAATTGTAGATATAATTTTGATATTCAACTCCAGTATACAAAATAATTCTTACAACTCAAAAGGACTTACTTGTCAAGCCAGATTACAGCATTTAAGTCCAAATGGTTGGTGGGTTCATCAAGTAATAATAGAGTGGGTTCCAAGAACAAAGCCCGAGCAAGGGACACACGCATTCTCCAACCTCCTGAAAAATCTTTAGTAGCACGGTCCTGCATAGCTGCTGAGAAACCAAGACCAGCCAATATACGCCGAGCCCTGGGTTCAGCCGAATCTGCTCCGAGTGCTTTAAGCTCTTCATATACCTTTTACAATATAACAATAATATTATATCTATTATCCAAGAACTATTTTATTCAAATATTAAACTTAGTCGACTTCTGTCAGTGAAATTTAATTTAATATTACTTCATTCAGTTTTTCTGTAACATCCTCATCAGCTGTGCCACTTTCTTGAACCTCCTCAAGTTTCTTACATTCGGCCAACAACTCCGTACACCGTGTGTCTGCACGGAGCACAGCATTCACTGCCGTTGTTTCATCTGCTACTACTTCCTGTTCACAATATAGTATGTCGATGCTTGGTGGAACATCAAATAACCGTTCAGCAATATGTCTGAGTAACGTTGTTTTACCGTGACTAAAATATAATTACAGAATAAATTATATTATGTTACACATTTGAATGAAATACGAATATATAAACGAATGTGTTATATTATATTACAGAATATACCATTATTATAGTTAACAATGAAGAACTAGGAAATAATGTGGTTTAGAATCTAATATTAATTTGATAAAAATAAAATATTTGTAATAAAAAATAATGAAGCTCATTTATAAGCTAAATTTAATTAACATACCCATTTGGTCCAACCAAACCATACCGCCGACCTTGTGCGATAAGTAGACTGGCGTTGACAAATAAGTCCTGGCCCTTGGCTGCAATGCTAAAGCTATCAATTTTGATATCAACCGCATGTTCCATAGCTGCTAGTTGACCAGCTGTCTT